ATTGTAGGCCAACATGTTCGTTGTGGAGATTAACTCGACCGGTCCAGAGATCTTTCCCCGCTTGATGGTCCCCGCGGTGAACTTGACCTGACCTTCGCGATAGGGCATTGGCGCAGAGACCTCGGGACGCTTGTGGCGCTTGGTAAAGGCTCGAGTTAGGGTCGACATTGTGATTTGCAATTAGATGGAAATCGGTCGGTGTTGTAATCAAATTGGCGATGGATTCTTGTCGCAATGATGTGTATAGATCGGCTGTAGAGGTGGCGTTCCCGTAATCAGATATCCTTATCGTTCGTACACAATAAAATCTTCTTCAATCTAGGACTTCTAAACGCTATAGTTGCGCACGTCAAATTGGCTTCGGAAAGAATGCGTGGCTGACGCTTAAGATCGCCGGTGGGGTGTCAAAGAAGGAATGGAAGTCGATCGACGGAATGTCCGCTATCAGATATGAGTGGTAGATGCTTGTCGCTTCAAGCTTCTACTGTAAGCTCTTCAAGAGACGAGAATGAATTTAGAGACTGGATATCCTCGTATCCGTTTGCACAGCAAAAGAAAATGGGATGGTTGGATCTCTCGCCTCCAGAGCCAGACAGTTTTTAGTGACTCAAGGGGGGTCACAAGAATGCTGCAGCCAGACTGTACAGTGTACAGTGAAAATCAGAGGCGGACAACCAGGACGCGCCACTGAGAGATTTGAAAAAGGAAGGGAAATTCCAGAGATACCGAGATCTAGGGAAGAAGAAAAAAGACCATCAACGGATATAAAAAAAGAAGAGAATAATATAACATGGAATAATATGAAGAAGGATAGTCCCCCAGGGAGGAGTGGTCAGAAGGGAGAGAAGAGGGAGGGAATGGAGGAGGAGAAGGAGAAAAGGGAAAGCCCCGAGGGAGACCCAATGCCAGCGGAGGCGAGCGAACAAAGTATGGGATAGAATGGTTCTGGGCTGTTCGGTCGGAGGATCCAGTCCAGTGACGACTCCAGCCAGTGTACGGAGGACCCTAAAAAGACTCCCTTCAGGCACTCTGGCTGTTGGCCTCAGGATTGGCTGTCCAGATTTTCAGCCTGTACCTTACGGGTGGATCTTCTCTTCAAAGTTTCCAGCCCACAGCACAAACCGTGGAGGCAAGTACCTGACCTTAGCCAACAGCCACTGCGCCAACTGCAAGAGTATCCAGCGTTTACCCTTGGGCTCTACGCCGTTTGTTCGATGAAATTTTCTTGACAGCTGGCTGGGTTCACTGGATAGCTAAGAATAGCGATAGGAAGTTTCGAAATATTTGCCTTGCGTTTTGCCCAGTGCGGGATTTTGTTGTCTTGGTTCTTCCTATGGCGAGATCAGCACGAACAGTGGTTCTCACAGTGTCTGGTACCATGGAACCTGAGCTTCCAGATGCCAGATGCTCAGGATCATTTAATTATACAAATCTAGTTCTTCATCTTCTTAAGGTATCTATCTCTTCTTCAAGTGAAGGTGAATAGATTATTATTTCTCCGGTGCTCCGACGGATTGGCTCTACGAGTCACTGTGGTTCCTCGAATCGTTGGCGGTTTCGACGCGCTAAACCGCACTCTTCAATTCGATGTGTCCGAGATAGCAGAGGATTGATCGTTTTGTCTGCTACTTTTGCTACGCAGTCACATTTTCCCTATTTCGGTCACAAAAGATCAGTCTCTCATATGCAGGGAAGCGGTACCTTGAATTCCAACTCTAAGATGACACGGTAGTTAGGCTTTGCAGTAGTAACATTTTCCTATTTCCCCTCAGGAGACGCCAAATGCATTGTGTTGTCTTCATTATCGGTTGCTACTTAGATTATATGTTCCTTGCGTGGTTGTTTTCCTTCCTGTGAACAATGTAGCGGCCGGTAACATCGTATGGTCGAATCATGAATGCTACATTGCCTTAGTCTGCTGGCCTAGTCAAAAGGTCAAGCAACGGTGTTGGCCTGGCGCCAGGAACCACCACACGACAGCCTGTAAGAAGGGCCATGTGCCGCCCCTCGACCGCTGACCAGTCAAGATGAAACAATCCTGCCGGGTGATTTGTCTCATGCTGATAACTCGGTTCTCGACTGTAACATATGACAACTGACTGATGGCATTCTGCAGCTCCTCGAGATTACCGCTTCTTCCACAGTCATAAGCTTCTCTACTTTGACCCTTGCTGAATGGGCTGCAGAGAATCAAAGTAATTTGAGGGAATCACTCATCCAAGTCCCTCATCTCAGTGACCAGGCGGATTTAAACGATGGGTCAATCGGAGATGGTGGGTCTGCCCCACTGTAGGCAAAAAACTTAGCAAAACGCCCCTTGGCTCGAGGCTTGCTGTCCTCAGTCAGTGCGCTGTAGATAACACTTGCATGAACATGGCTACTGTTTTCGTGGACCAGACTCGATTTCAAGTCAAAATTCTTATGTAGACTGGGGTTGCACAACAAAAAAGTGACTGAAGTAAGAAGTGGACGAGAAAGAAGAATGATGGTCTTGTCCCTTGCATGTGATACATGCAATCTTTAATTGCTGACGCCGGTACTTGTTGTCACACACACACATGTGGCTGGCAGACCAACTGGCACAGTACCTAGTCAGCCCTGTGCTTGAGATCAGTCAGCGTCGCCAGCTCCCCTTGAGCCCTGAACTCTTGGGTCGAAATCCATTCAGAACTGCCTTCAGCAATGAGCTGTAGTCTATAATCCTAGTCATGCTTTCATCATTTGGGGATGATCACACACGCCATCACCAATGCCCCATTGTTTAAAGAGGACATTAGGCTTCTTGAGTTCAACCTAAGGTGTTCACCTCCACTTGCAAGGTCGTCAGAGGGAGGGTTCCAATGTATGTTCTCTCGCCGCATAAGCTGATGGTTCGCTTCCCTTACAGATAAAGGCATGTACATCGTCCGCTGAATGTAACCCTTCGGCCCTTCTCATTCACACAAACGGTCTGATACAGAAAAATTCAAGTCGTCAGGAGTTTGTGGGAAACACTTTTTCCATTGGCTGGTCCTACATAGTCCTCATATAAGCTCGACAGCAGGACTTGTTGCATCAGATGAAATCATCTGATCAATCTGGACACCGCCGCCCGTCCAGTCTGCACGTTCTAAATCATCCCATTGTTTAGGAAACTATATTCCGAGTCCGAAAAGGTCAATGAAAGGTAATATAATGAACTCTGTAGCCTGTCAACTTTGTGGTTGACCAGAGAGTCAAATAGCTCCAATCCATTCGAAGGTTCAATAGGTGGCTGGTCAGTTTCTTGGTCCAAATATATCACATATCATAAAGAAGCAAGCAGATTGGCGGTAGTTACGACGCAGAGAATATCTAAGTAGACTTCCAGGTATTGCTGTGTTAACGCCAGTTGGTGCCTCAATAGCTAGTTGTATCTGCCTATCGTTATCGCTGAGCACTGACCACATCTAAAGCACAACCTCTTCCGCCCGGCAGAAAAAAAGAGACGGTCCAAAAAGATTCGGATCAGGTAGAACGTAGTCTGATCTCGCTCGCAAAATCACCATCATATCACCGCTCTTTCCCTAGTTTAGAGACTTATTGACCACTCATTCAGAATGAGGGCCAAACGCTCCAAGAAGTATCGCAAGCTCATGCATCAGTATGAGATGGCATTTGGCTTCCGCGAACCATATCAAGTCTTGGGTATTTACACCTTTGCAAAGACGCATCACTGCGTTTAAATGGTCTTCAATACTAACACTTGAACCTTTCCAGTTGACTCGAATTTCCTTCGCGCTGTCCACTCATTCAAGATGGAACTGATTCCTGCCCTTGAACGTACACTTCAAGGAAAAGTCAAACCATGTATGTCTTCGGATCCAGAGTCTGACCACGAGCGGACAATGGAACGACGGGCTAACATACCTGACTAATAGTATTGACGAAATGCTCCCTGGCGGCCATCATGGCATCTCAACCTATCAACCCAAAAACCAACAATCCCTACCGCCCAATGCACCTCCCCCCACCCACGATCCTCCCATTGCGACACTGCTCGCACAACGAAGACTCAACACCTATTGATGAAGTGGAATGCTTGCTTTCATTATTGTCACCTTCCAAGGAAGCCAAGCGGAATAAAGAGCACTACACCCTCGCGACTGCAGACCCCCCTACCGACAAGGCCGACTCTGGAGACGGAAAGAAGAGAAAGCGAGGTGATGACCAGGCTCGGGATGCGCTGCGACGGGCTCAGAAGTTGCGTATTGGGGCCCGGTCTATCCCCGGTGTACCGATTGTTTACGTGAAACGGTCCGTCATGATTCTCGAACCAATGAGCACGCCATCCGAAGAAGTACGAGACGGGGTTGAAAATAGCAAGTTCCGGGCGGGGTTGAATGATGAAGCAGTGTTAGGCAAGAGAAAGCGGACCGAGGACGGTGAGGAGAAGAAGAAGAAGAAGGGGTTGAAGAAGCCCAAAGGGCCTAATCCCTTGAGTGTGAAGAAACCCAAGAAGAAAACAGCAGAAACGGCTAGTGGACCGAAACAAGAGAAGCGGAAGGAACAGGAATCAGGCGAGGCGCCAGACAGGACTAACGATGAAGGCGAATCAAGCGCACCCAAACCGAAGAGAAGACGGCGCCACCATAAGAGTTCCAAGGGGGAGGGAAATGATGACCACACCGGTGAGCCCTCAAACGGGGCGGAGGTTGGAATGGCTCCGAACGAATAATTGTCCCTCATTCAGCGTGAGGTAGATCTATATTCATTGGCAAGGCGTTTGGTTGGCTAGTGCACTAAAAAGTACCGTCTTCAAGCTATGAATATTCTGAATTTAGACAATGTGATATCCGTCAATCTCATTGACATGTAGACATGACTCGTCCACGCTATATATACAGGTAAACTCGAAAGATGAGAAGAGAGAATAAGACCATAAACGCCGGCTAGCACCAAACCAAGACAACAACTCCACCATGCAAAACACCCCTCATCCACCTTCTCAATCGTCAAACTCCAACTCGTCGGCAAAGCCCCTATTGCTGCTTCGACTCCCCATTGAGCGAAACACCCTGCTCGAGAGCCCTTTCCTCAGCCCAGATCTTCTCGATCCGCTTCCGGTTATCCCGAGCCTGGTCCCGATTCTTTTTTGCGCGCTGATACCGCTCCGCAGCGAGGCACTTATTGACGTCGCGCTTTATATCGTTGCAATTGCCCAGGGCTTTGTGAAGGAATCCGCGAGCGTGACATTCGTCGAGAGCGGTCATGATCTCTTCGCAGTCTGTTGATACCTCGTTAGTTTAGTGTCATTTTCAGGATGGCAGGTTAACGTACTCGCATTGTAGGGGGTGTGTAGGTGGGAATGCATTTTGTTTATAGATGTGTAGCTTGAGCAGAGCCGTTGATCGATTGCAACGGTCAAGGGACTTTTTTCGACAAACCGTTTTGAATCTGTCCTTGAATACCTCGCTAGTATGTGATAGTCTCGGCCTTTGAGAAATCTCCGAAGGCGATGCCGAGCGGTGAGAGCCAGAGAGGGGATTCTGCCGGGCGGGGAGGGATGGTCGACCACAAAAAAAGTAAAAGCGCGAGAAAAAAGTCTGGTAATGCGTCTAACATCTATCGTTAGGTAGAAAGCAACATAGCCTTTTGGGGTAAGGTATTTTCTGTTATCGATTTGAAGCTGCAATCTACTGGTCAGCTGCTGCGAGGTTTTTTGTCTGGACGTGCCTCAGGACTTGTACCTGACTGGCTCACCAGTCATTGGTTATACCAAACACCACCGAAAATAAAATTTACTGAGGAAAACACTTCACGATGTCTTCTATGATTACTACGACCGCTTGGGTGCGGCGGGGAGTCGCTGCCCAGTTCCCCACCAAATATGAGATTGACGAGGATGAGATGAATCGGATATCCAAGCTCGCTCGGATGCAGCTCGAAGAAGCCCAGGGCGATCTGGACGCTGCCATGGAAGGAAAGGACCAGGACGGCGAGACGATGGAGGACGATCAGAAGGAGGAACCTCAAGACGCAATGGAAGACGATTCCGAAGAAAAGAAGGGCAAGAAAAGTTTCAATGAGTAGGTGCTAATCTTGGGTGTGACGATTTTAATATAGGCAGGACTAACTCTAAATCTCGCTCTGTTTAGTGATGATGAATTGAAAGAATACGACCTTGATCACTACGACAGTGATGAGGTCGACGAGGATGGAGAGAAGATTACCATGTTCGGAAACGTCAAGTCACTGGCGTACCACCAGCCCAACGAGGAAGATCCATACCTTGTGATGCCGGAAGAAGAAGAAGACGAGGAGAGAGAGGAGTTGCAGATCCTCCCCACCGACAACTTGCTTCTTGCAGGTAAGGTTGAGGATGAGGTGGCCCACCTTGAAGTCTATGTCTACGAAGACCAGGAAGCGAACCTTTACGTGCACCACGACATTATGCTGCCCGCCATCCCTCTGTGCGTTGAATGGCTGGATTTCCCTGTGGGCGCAAACAAGGGCGACCGGACTACTGGCAATTTCGTGGCTGTCGGAACCATGGAGCCCGACATTGAGGTCTGGGATCTGGACATTGTCGATTGCATGTACCCAAACGCCATCCTGGGTCAGGGCGGTGCGGAGCTCGAGGGAGACATGAAAAAGGCTAAGAAGTCCAAGAAGAAGACCAAAGCGAATGATGAATTCCACGTCGACTCCATCCTCGCCTTGGCCGCAAACCGTCAACACCGCAATCTGCTCGCATCTGCCTCCGCTGATCGTACTGTAAAGCTCTGGGACCTCAACACCACCAAGTGCGCCAAGTCTTACACACATCATACGGACAAGGTGTGCTCGCTGGACTGGCACCCTAAGGAAGCCACCGTTCTGCTCACCGGTAGTTATGATCGTACCGTGGTGGCGGCAGACATGAGAGCTCCCGACGCGAAAGCACGGTGGGGAGTGGATGCCGACGTTGAGAACGTGCGCTGGGATATCCACGACCCGAACTTCTTCTATGTCACCACAGATGCCGGTATGGTCTACCGCTACGATGTACGAAACATCCCTGCGACACCAAAGGAATCGAAACCAGTCTGGACCCTGCAGGCGCACGATTCTTCGGTTTCATCTTTTGACATCAACCCGGCCATCCCTGGCTTCCTCGTCACTGGGTCAACGGACAAGCAAGTCAAGCTGTGGAACGTCGAGAACGACCGGCCTAGTATGGTCGTCTCGCGTAAGATGGACGTTGGTAAGGTGTTTTCGACCACCTTCGCTCCCGACAATGAGGTTGGCTTCCGGCTGGCGGTGGCTGGTAGCAAGGGAACGGTCCAGATCTGGGACACGTCGACCAACGGGGCCGTTCGTAGAGCTTTCGTGTCGCGCATGCCCGCCTTGGAGGGCGAAGTCAAAGAACGCACTATCGGAGTGCAAGCCGACGATGATGAATCGGACGATGATGCCGCAGGGGAGGAGATCGGTGCTCAACAAGGCGGAGATGGCTGGGAATCGATGGACGAGGACTAGAGCGCATGACAGAAAATGGGCAATGCTATTTTTGGAAGACAAAAGTTATATTATGGGTACTCGAGCATGGAATGATTTGCTTTTCTTATGTTGATACAGCCCGACACCTTTGTTTATAACATATTAAAGATACCCGGTCGAACCTATTGACCGATCGATTGTGACTCTGAATCAAGCTACAGTTCTCGCAATACCTTCATATGACTGACCGGGGGGGTGTCCTTGTAGGGCACCCCACCAGTCTTTCTTTATACTCATGATTGCTCTTTGTTATGATGTCAAGAATCGGGGATTTCGGCATCTGATATCCTCGATGGTCTAACGGTCATGATTTCCGCTTGTCACTCAATAGAGAACGAGCGCGGGAGACCAGGGTTCGACTCCCTGTCGGGGAGATATTTTTTCATCTCTGTTTTGGCACTTCATTGGACCCGTCAGCGGATTCTATATTCCAGTGTAGTCGTTTCTTTTTTTCATGGGTTGGATGTAACTTAGCAACATGCTGGTTACTGACTGCCCTTGACGGTCAACTTCCGCACTCGGCCAAGTTCCATGCATAGGTCGAAACATGTGGTTCTGATACCGTGTATGACTAACCGTTATCTGAACGTGTCCCCAAAAAAATATGTAGAATGTGTTGTCCTAGCCATGGGGCACTTGATGTAGTTGAGACTCGAGGCATCCGACAGCAGCGTTTCATAGTAGAATCTCGGATAGATACAGCGCAGATCCTCCCCATGGAGAATGAGATCGTGATGATTTCCCCTAAGCAAACCGGGCAGTTCGAATCATGATCTTACAGGGCTCATCCCACTCTCTTGAATCAGATCAACGGAAGGTGATTGGACGTGAGAGAGCATATCCCTGGGAAATAACAGCAATGGAAAGGGCCCTGCCCCTAGTCGACACCTGCATTACGCTCATATGCTACCACGACGCTGAGTTGGATGTCTTGTGCTGTAGAGGCTCAAGTAACAGAAGACATATTGCACGAGGCCTTGAGCACGCTGATGGGATCTGGACAATGCCAGCACAGCTATCAAACAACTGGAGATGACTCCAGATCGTGTCTTGCTGTCAATGGAAGATCGCTCAACAACGGCCCATGAGGCCAGGATAGTGCCAGACAAGGAACTTTACCTCTTACAGTGCTGGATTCGAGGAAAGGGTTTATACCAGAATTCACTTAAGCTTGTATGGGTGTCCGGGCGTTGAGGCAGTTCACATCTCGAATAAGGTTGCTTTTCGAAGTCTGAAACATATATATCGCGGGCGATAAGGTATTAAGCTAGCCGTAGACGGATGTAAAAATATCCCTCAGTACGGAGTAGCTCACCACGATATGCACCAAGGATATATTCTGAACGGATACGGCCTCGAAGGCATAGCATCTCGAGCGGAGCTGGTCAAGCTGGTCAGACATTGAGTGAAGGGAATTGGATATTAAAAAGCCGTGCATCTGATCATTTCACTTCTGTTGTTAGCAGATGGAATAGAAAGAAAAAACAAAAAGATTCTCCCCGACAGGGAGTCGAACCCTGGTCTCCCGCGCTCGTTCTCTATTGAGTGACAAGCGGAAATCATGACCGTTAGACCATCGAGGATATTTATCGAGTGGACTTCAGAAATTCGATTCTATGAACTAATTGACCCGAGTTACCGAAGGGTCACGCTGCTTCCGGCTGGCCTTAAACAAGCAAGAAGCGCATATTTTGATACCTATGGCTTAGCATTTCCGAGCCGGAGACTCGTTAAAATTGGGTGCTCGGATATCAACAGAGTATTATATCATGGCTCGATGGGCCGTTCAGCCCAGTGTGTCGACAACATTCGAGCATACCATTATTAACAATTGTAATGATGTGTTCCAAAATGACTCCAAAATGACACCAAAAGGCAAAAAAGGGACAGACAGAGGGATGTGAGGTTAAATATGACACAGTTAAACAGTAACTTATGCACAGTGCAATTTCGTCAAACGCGAAGGCAATCGACCGTTGAGGTATCACAAATCTATCGTTCATTTCATTAAGGGTATCAAAGCTCAAAGCTCAAAGCACTGCGATAGCACCTGGGGGTATTAGAGCGAAATATCCGAGACCTCGTAGCGTGAGAAAGAATGGCCGGTTGGAGCTCCGTTAGTCTACCTCAGCGAGTATCCAATTCTCGGAGTGGATAAAACATGGGCGTTTGAACGATTTCCGGGTATCGAACATGAATAATCGTGATGGAGGTGGAGCCAAGTTGGCTGTCGGATTCGAGCGCAGGATGTGGCCTGTTGATAAGGGTCCCTCCTATGGGACTGACCCCCTCGAGAGGCTCAAAGTCACAATCGTGACAGGAAGGCGGGTATGGACCCGGTAGCTGAATGTTGAACGGATCTCTGAAATTGTTGTTTCAACGCCCTCTCTTCTTACAGGCGCCGACGACAACACTAATGTCATCCATCTTCCCTAGATTTTTGTCAATAACATGCAATGTGACAGCAGGCTAACGAAACCTACCCCCCTCGATGGCTAGGCCCTCCTCGATAGCCTTCTCCATATATGGGCTCTCTGCAAATGGATCCTGAGCGATAGCCAGCGCAGCTTTGAGCAACTCTCTAGCTACGAATACCATACGTTCATCTGACAGGTGGGCCGGCGGTGCCCATTCCAGATCCTTCTCTTCGAAATGTCCTTCGTCCCATTTCTTGAGGCTGTCGAGCGTGATCGTCAAGACCTCGTGTTCCCAAAGGTTATCGAGAACTCCATCAGACACGGCCAGCACGAGGTCATCCTCCTCAAGCTGAACCTCAGAAAGAACTGCATCCTTCCGCGGAGTATCCACACTATTTGTACCTAGTTGCATAGGACAGTCGAACCAGTGCCATTGTTCCGTAGTTCGAAACAGGACCTTCTCCTCGCTCGGACGTATAACAAGTACTTTGCAATCTCCCAAGTTCGTCACGTAGAGCAAGGGCTTTGGATTTCCCGCATTGTCACCAGTGAAGTGTAAAAGCGCAGTCACCGTCGTTGTTGTGCCCAGCCATTCATTCGGTGAGGTCGTCGCTCGAATCGTCTCCTCGTAGGCTCGTTGTAGGTACTCGACCGGATCTAGTTTTGAGGTTTTGTCGACTTCTCGTTCGGCCTCCAGGGCCCAGAAGTGAAGCAATAGTCGAGACCAAAGCCTGGTTTAATTGAGGACGGTGTCAGCGATGAAATCTCAAGTGGCACAGAAAGGAGGCTGATGTCGTGCACTCACGCAGCATGACCCCGTTCTTTCGTAGCCCACGCCCCCACGCCATCGTTCACCCCGATGAAATTGTCTGCAACGAGCACTGCATCATCGCCGTTGTTAAGCCCGCGGACCAGTTCACCCCCGACGGATAATCTCTTATCCTGACTCTGGTAGTGGGTGGTCAAGGGGTCGGAGAAAGACGACGACGGCGGAGACAGGAACGGCGGGGGGAAGGGGCGCGACGGCCGTTTGGCGCACAGAGCGTAGCCTGTCTGGAAGCAGAATGGAGACTTTGAATGTGGATAACGATCGGGAACCGGGGTAGTGATGCCGTAGGAAGGCCAGACGGCGGCTCGATACTGCCGCACAGGCGTGCTGGGTCGGATTAGCCTCCTTGAGCTTGCTGTACGCGCTGTGGTCCACTGTGGGCTGCGTATCATCAATAATACCGTGGTAACTATATCCTGAGTCACCATGCCCGCGTGAAATAAGATGTGCACTCTCTCAGCACACTGAGATTGCCTCGCGGTTGGGGGGAAGCGCTTCCTCTCTTTTTCGTTGTCTCTGGTCCAAGCCCACCGTGAGATTAGAGTTGGTAAGGCGGATGGAGATGGCTCGCTCACTATGGCTTGAGCGCAGCCAAACACCCATCAGAGACAATGATTACAGCAATATGTAACAGAATTTGCTCCGAGAGCCAGTCATTGCCGAGTTTGATTGCATGCATTCCATATTTGACTAATACGATAGATACATGACCATCGCCTCCGATTTGCCCCTTGAAGGCCCCAGTCATCCATCCTTGCAAGTGGTCTTCATCGTATCAAGGAGAAAAAAAAAAAGAAAAGAAAAGAAAAAAGAGAAACAGAAAGAACGACCTGCAAGCTCAACCGGAGCTGCCATGTTAGTCAGGACTTTCAGATGAGTTGACTGCCCGTGGCAACTGCCTGGCGCTGCTTGCCCACCACTTCTTCGAAGAGCTGCATGGCACGGTGCAGCTCCGCGACGAGCTCATAGTGAGCAACTTCACGGCTGACCATTACCAGTCCTTCAAAGAAGGCTCTGGCCAAACTGCCGCATCTGGGGCCGAAGTCCTGCTCGCCCGCAGCCTCATGGCGCTTGGCCAGCACGATGCGCAGGATGCGCTCAGAGCAGGGGCAGGGCAGCAAGACATCCATTGTGCAGTCAGTCGCGCAACTGCAAGATGAACGGCAGATGCACTTCTTCTCTTTGACGAAATCAAGGAGGCGACGTCTGCCGTCATCGCGTCTGATGTCTCCGACGCTCCTGCCCTCGAGCTTCGCCAGGGTCGCCTGACGGTTATCAAGGACGTTCTCGCGCTGCCAAATTTCTAGCTGAATTGAGTCGCGGTTGACGAACGGAAGTTCAGTCGCTGGAAAGTCATCGGTAGCCGTCACCTTTGGCATGATAGTCAGGTACTTCTCCGACATCATGGTGATCGTTTCGACGCCCGGCATCTGATACAGGTAAACGAGGCCTCTCCACTTCAGAACGAAAGGATGAGTCTCGTCGGAGACAATCTTCAAGATGGAGGTACGATAACCGATAAGATCGTGCGCAGAGAAGCCAGTGATGGCAAGCTTGTCGGTAGCATGGCGAATGATCGAGTCCTGGTGCTGCTTAACAAGGTCGTAATCAAGGCCACTGCAAACTTCCGGGGCGTCCAGGACGTCCTTGAATGTTATGAATATGTCACGGAGATGACTAGTTTCAGGAAGGGTGAACGTTTCCTTAATGAGCATGCGGCGCAGGTTAAGGTCGAAGTGACCACAGAGCTCAACGTTAGCAATCTCCATAACCAGTCTCGCATACAGAGAATAATAAAGCTTTTCGGTGCCCTCGATGAGTTCAGCAAGAGAATCTGTATTCACAACAGCTTCGGCGTCCTTGAGATGAGCCAGCATACCTCCAGGAGCGTCGTCTAACTGTGGGGAGGGAAAGCCACTCATCAGTTTTCTGTGCTGAGCTACAAGGTTCACTGGAAGGCTCAGGGCTTATCCTGCTTACCTCCACGCCATACATCCTGAGTGCCCAAGCAAGGATTTTGGCAATGGTATAAACCTTCGAGAAGACGCTGATGACACTGCCAAATTTCGCTGCAGCCGCCCTTCCATAAGGATTGTCGAGAAGCTGTTCACGGGCAGCGAAAGAGTGCCATTCAGACGAACTGATGGTATAAGGAAGACTCGGAGTTTCGATGGGTGGCATCTGCTGACTTTCTGTTAGTTTCTTTTCCCTAGCTCTGTTTGGCAAACTGCCTGCTAAGGATGTCGAGTCGACTTACAGCTGAAGCGTAAGAAGCTTCGGTACTGTCTGAACCACGCATGTAAGATACTTCGGCACTGCCTGAAGTACGCATGTAAGAAATTCGGGCACTTCCTGAAGTACGCATGTAAAAAACTTCGGCACTATCCGGAGCACGCATCGTGCGAGACTCGAATCTTTCTTTTTTCTCTTCAAGCATCTCTTGAGAATACTTGTAGAAGCCGTCCTTGTGTTCACCGATTTCGAAATCGTCATCCAAAGCAGGTTGTTTACCCTTCGACTCAGATGAGCGTCTGCGGAATACCTTCTGCAAGGCAGACTGCCAGGAGTGAGAGCTAGAGCTTGATCTACGCATGGTTGGTAGAAATCACTGCGTTGTTATGAATTGCGGGTCAGCAGTCAAGCCGCGTGTTGAGCACTGAGAAAAGTGCGGCTGGGTATGTGGCGAGAACTGGTCAGGGAAGGTGAGTGATGCTAGGTGTTGATGTGTTCAGCGATGTGCTTTGCTTCTGGTCAAGTGAATGTTGTCAGAGGACCTGGTGCAGAGATGCCACTTCACTGTGGAAGCCATGCCGAGTGTCTATAACTATCGTCAGAGATGATCATAAAAAGCTTTCTTACTCCAGACAATCCTCAAGAACCCACTCATTAAGCTACTAAGTATAAACAGCTATGATATTGGTCAGAGTGAAGCGGAGGAATCAATATGCAAGAACACTATCGACCACTGAGTCTTGCATAGCTTCTGCTGACCAAAAGTTTGTGAGACATATATCTGACATCAATCTAATTCTTTTCTGGTAGTGATAAGGAAACTATGAAGCTACAAGACCAGACAGGGCAGATATCAGCTGTTATGGTTGCCATATAGGATAAAATAGACAGGACCATAATGTGATTCATGAGGCAGAGAAAGATGAACAATGCACAGATGAGTATCATAGTCTATTAACAACAAAGGATGATTTCATACACGGCTATGAAAGAAGAGGATCAACTTCAATAGCTGAATTCTGTGTAACAAAGGCATATGGCAGAATGACTTCTGCTATCTTCCAGATGGCTTTATTAGCCCTGTCGACATACTCGGACGATATACATGCACACTCCCTGAAAGAAAGAGACTGGAGGGAAGAATTATTAGCTTGTGACCAGAGGTTGCGATATGGAAAGCGTGTGGCGTCGGAGAAAAACTTACTTGCAAGTTTGACAGATTTCTGACCCATTCAAAGCCCTCATCACAGGGGCCGTCTGGCAACTGCTTAAGTTTTTGCTCATCTATTGGATGGCTTAGTAGACGGTGACAATTCTCCAGCCACAGAACTTCGAGCTTCGCACCAGGTGCCAGTTTCTGGCCTTCTGTCGCTGCATTGTCTTTATCCTTTTGAACGCCTCCAAGCCAATTCAAAAACTCCGGCTGGGCACCACGGCAGGTCCTCAGCTTCAAGACTCTCAGCCTAGGATTCTTCCCCACAAGCATCGCCAATTGCCATGGCGTGATGCCTGATCGTTCCAATATCAGAGTCTCAAGGCCGGTAATCCCTATGTCCTTGGGGTTCCCTATGCCCGCGAGTAAGTTCCAAGCAGTGCTACCCGGCGCAGGATAATACCAAGCGGTTGGCCTCATCGGCCCGTCGCGGATATGTGGATGCTCGAAACGCAGTGCCAGATAGCGCAGCGCGTGTCTACATCTGGTGCCGAGCGCTTTTGCTCCATCGACATCAAGATCGTAGGCCATGAACTCAAGCTTGACCAATGAAGGCCCGTATCGATCCATCAGTCGCGCAAGAACTTTGTTCTGTGCTTGTACCGTCTGCTCCTGAGCGTCTAGTGGTCTTATGGCCCGCTTTCTTTGCAGCTTGCATTTAGCATGTGGCTTTCCATCCAATCCTTGCTTTGCATAGACGCCTGGTTGGATCACGGAAATTGTATAGTCACTCCTGGAACCATCGTTCTCATGAGATGAAGAAAGTTGATCGGGTGTAGCCCAGCCTGCCTGAAGTAGAGAGATCATGGAATGGACTCGCTTTTCGAACACTCCGACTCGAAGACGTCTCAAGCAAAGGGCGTGAGACTTGAAATTCGCGTGAGATGTTTCTCCAAAGGCGAGGAGAGACTCAAAAGGTAGGTACGCCAGGATGGAGAGAAGTACCTCTAATGGTAGGAAACTGATCTTGTCCGACATATTGAACCAGAGTATTCTCGATGCCGTCAACGAACACTGCTTGCTTTCTGAAGTCGTCGCCGTCCCACGTTTAACCCGGTTTCGTTGTTTGTTCCTTCAGCAGACGCAATATAGAGGCGACGTCTGAAGCGCAGAATGATTGCTCCAAGAAATGTCGGTTAGGCGTAAAGATGAGGAGCATCTATTGCCTATGTAAACAATGTGATGTTCAGCATACGGTTGTTGAACAACCTGAGGATTTCAAGATCAATATGTTGTAAGAAAAAAAGATGATGCCTCAAACAAAAAGAAAGGCCTTTGACTTCGTGTAGACAGCTTACCTAGAGGAGCATGATCGTAGTGCTAGACAGCAGGATAGTGGAAGCGATGCTAGTGAAGGCCTCGGTAAAGACCCTGCGCTTCTATCTTTGGCGTATTATCCGGGCACAGATGATGATAGCCGGTGAGGTATTTTCACTGAGCCGAGTGAGCAAAATTTGGGTATTCGTTCAATATCGTAAGTGACCAAAAGTTGAACCTCCAAGCTGTATCGATGCGCACTGCTCCTGTTTCTTGCAATGCAACTACAGCGGGAACTTTCCAACCTTCTCACTCAGTCACCCCTTTCCTTTCTCTGGAGTAATATGGCTCTCCTGCCTTGTTCTTCTCCATCAATATTTAGTCCCGATGATATATTCTCCGAGGAATCCTCGTCTGTGAGGTAGTCCAGGAATGTGCCAAATAAGACAAAGAATGATGACAGTCTGTATAAGGCAACAACGGAACAATGTGCCTTAGGCGAGGCAACCAAGACCATGCAAGTTGGCATAAATCTTGATAGACGCTTCGAGTCTCAATTTGGAACTCTCTCTTGCTTATTTATGGGATTATGTGTCAGCTGGCAGCACACCATGATCGCTCGTCAACTGGCTGCGTATTTCTCCACATGGGAAGGGACGTATAGCTGCAGAAAACGGAGAACAAAGCAGACAATGGCAACGATGCACTTGTATGGCCTTCTGGCACAACACTGCACACGCTGTTTGGACTTGGGATAATCGTGTGGGTGCTTATTGACCCCTTGCGACAAGTTGTCGAAGAGAAAGCAAGAGCAAACGATGACCGTCAACTTCGCCGAATAGGATGGAGTGTAAGCCCCCGAATACTGTGTTCCATGTTTATTCTGGATTTTCTCTTTTTGCTAAAAAATATTCCCGAGACGTGGTTTTATATTTTTGATTCTGCCACGAAGTCTAAAGCCCAAGTAGGGCAGGCCATTTGCTGCGCAGAAACCGCACAGCGATCGAAATCCCTTCAGTCCTGACACGCTAACTGAAATTGTAGTTAGAGTTACTGGGAAGGCGACAAAGAACACAAGCGTGGTCAGCCTTTTTCCCCAATGGACAAGTCGCTCAGTATTGGTTGTGGCTTGTGACAGATGTCCGAATCACGCATGCATCAGCGTTTTGTGTTCGTCCGTCAGTCGCCGACAAGTATCTGATCATCTGCTCCACGGGCGTGCCAATGATACCAAGGGACCAGATTAAACTGCATGCCCGGTGCTACTCCGACCCAGGCTGTCGGTTCCATATACCCAATTGAAACACTAGCACCCTGCAGCTTGGTCGGCGACACGACCAAGGGGATTTCAGGCGCCCAGATCGAACGCTTACAGCTGCCAGGGTGCTGCTCCCTTAGACCACTGCCTGACATCCGCTAGTCTACTGGTCGCAAACAGTAATTTAGTAACTTGGCAGTGAATCAGGCATCTGCTAGTTAAATTCATCAAGTCCGTTGCATTTTCTTGGTGGTGCTTGATTGAGCAGGTTTTGGTATCTTCGCAGCCGAATGATTCTGCCGTGCCATACTCTGAGGGATACTCCCTGCAATAAGAACGTTGTCACACGTGTTGGCTGTGATTCGAGAGGCTGGCACAGACACACATTTACCTTAAAGAAGCAAGGACGACAGAGACTAACAAGTAGCAGGGGCCCGAAAGAGATCCACAAGTCTCAATAGGGAAGCCAAGATAGCGGTGAAGTCTGTTGATACGAAGAAACCAGGATAAGGATCAGTCTTCATTATTGCCAGGTAGATATCCACCTCGTGCAGATTGACAGATGCATCCTTGATCGTGGATACGCTGCAAAGGGGAAAAAAGCAATTACACCCGAAACCACGGCAAGAATGCGTCCAAATCCTCCGAGACACGTCAAATCGTCGTCAGACACACCCTTGCCTCTTGCTGAAACGGCCAAATAATCGTACGATAAGGTGCTCTGTGTAACTAGCGAAATTGTATGTGCACTTTCCTTGTTCAGCTTCACATGCTTCGTACTGCCTTCGAGCCGTAATATACAACAAGAAACACGATTGACCGCTCTATCCATGAACCCTGAACGTACGACCGCTGGCCGTCTTTCGCTCCCGCTCCTCGTTCTCAGGTCGAGCTCTGTTGAGAACTGTTATTGTTAGCAACGAAGTAGGCCGCGGTATCCATTGCGACTCACCTTGCAGGAAGTCTGCTGTCCTCTTACGCATTCTAGTGTGGATATATGCCTACATAGAGTCAGTGCATTGGAGAAGGGAAACACTGACATCGTTGAAGCCTACCTTGGACGCCTTGATGTGGTAATGGAAATAGTCACGGAAGGTTTGGATGTGAGAGATATTTTCGTAGCGTCGCTGAGGAGTCAGGTGTCGAGGGAAAAGGACTATGAGCTGTCAGTCAAGGCTCGCGACATAGGCAACGAGATTTGCTTACCGAAAGTGACATAACTCATTTTACCGTCCCCAGCTGTCTGCAGACCAGGGACCCCCTGCAGCTCCAGCGGAGGGTCGCTGCGGAAGAGCACTTGGGGCGCATTCTGCAACGTCACCACACGTCTTCTCGCGTCGACAAACTCCTGTAAGAAGACTTTGCCAAAGATACGATCCGTCTCTTCGCGGAAAACAGTGCTAAAGATCACTGTAACCCGGTCATGACTGGCCTTGATGTAGATTGCTTCCTCCTCCCGGTAATGAATTGCCATCAACTCCCCACCTTCCTTGACCCCTTGGGGTGCGGACTCCGACGTATATCTAGATGCCTCCTCTGACAATTTCGCGAATTCGTCAAATGCCCTTTCGAACGGAGCAGCCATGGCGTTCCGCTTCAGCAATGCAAGCCGCATGATGAGCTCGTCCCGAGCGTCCTGCTCTGCGGGCAGGTTCTCCAAGTCAATCTGTACCGAAAAGTCATAGCCAGGCTCTGGTGTGACGATGTAGGGACCATATTCTCTTTCCAGTACCTCTTGGGCACCATATTGAACCAGCTCTTTGAAGCATTTCACGTGGATGGAGATAAGGATCTTGGTTTTCGACTCTGGCGTCGACAGGTGGAAGGTCACCCCGTCAAAGTCAGAAACAACTTGGTCAATTGAAACCGGCGCGCCTCTATTGCAACAAGCAGAAAATTCATTCCGTTAGCTGATGTTGTCAAGGCCGGGACCTGCGTATACCAAAGGAGGCGGGGAGGGGACAGCTATACCCGGAGAAGCGCTCCGTCAGGAGGTTCTGAATGAGAACATTCTGGTAATCAAGCAAAAGCATGACGACAGACTGTGTATATCGCAGCTCAATCAATTCCGAAAGAAACGATAGTATCTGTTAGGCACCTGTAAGTAGTTCAACCCTGTTGATGAGTTGGTTCGATTGGGTGCCTGAGGGGGAATGACGGCAGGCGGTGGGGATTTGTCCGGGGTGGTTGCTCTCGCCGCCCGTAGTTTTTTTCTGGCGCATTTCGGCCTATCGATAGCAGTCTCTCTCGGAGCTCTTAAATTTTCCTTGCTATCGACTTGGGCATTCCAACGATGGTGAAGTCATATTTGTATGTGCAGTTGTTCCGCAAATTTGTCCATGGTGGAGTCTTGAATGTGAGGCGCTAATTTTTGTAGGAAATTCGAGCATTCGAATACGTTCGGGCTCGTTGCGTCGGGTTCGTCGAATGCGATTTGGACCCGAGACGATGCCCTCGCTGGCACTGCACACCGCACAGGCGCTGGAAGGGCCATTGTCGGTGCGGGCGAACAGGTTCTTTGCTGGGACGTCAAGAAAGGCGACTTACTTGGACGGTGGCGCGACTCGTCCTGCAAAGCGCAGGTGACCGTGATCACTCAAAGTAAGACCGATGAGGACGTTTTCGCTGTCGGGTAGGTCTTTTTCCTTTTATCAGAGATGAGACATTCATCTGCTTGGTGCTTACATTCAGAATCGGTTCTATTTAGGTACGATGATGGAAGTATTCGTATCTGGGACTCGAGAACAGAGACCGTGATCATTTCGTTCAACGGCCACAAATCGGCCGTTACTCAACTCGCATTCGATGCCGCCGGTGTACGCGTTGCTAGTGGCTCGAAGGACACGGATATCATTGTGTGGGACTTGCTAGCGGAAGTTGGGCTTTTCAAGCTGCGCGGACACTCCGACCAAGTCACCTCGCTCCATTTCCTCAATTTGTCTTCCGAATTGCTACAAGCCGCTGGACTGAGCGAACACGCGGGGTTTTTGCTCACTACCGGCAAGGACTCTTTAATCAAGGTCTGGGATCTGGCTACGCAACACTGTATTGAGACACATGTGGCCCAATCGAACGGCGAGTGTTGGAGCTTGGGCCTCTCCCCCGATCAAAGCGGCTGTATCACCGCAGGAAACGATGGAGAACTCAAGGTTTGGTCGATTGACGAAAGCGCCATGCTAGAGATCTCACGGGAGAAAGTTGGTTCTGAAAGTCGCAAAATTCTGACGGACAGAGGGACGCTTTATCGGAACGGCAAAGATCGAACGATTGGTATCAGCTTTCACCCGCGCGCTGACTATGTCGGGTTCCATGGCTCGGAGAAGGCAATAGAAATCTGGCGCATCCGCTCTGCGACCGAGGTACAAAAGAGCTTGGCCAGGAAGCGTAAGAGAAGAAAGGAGAAGGAAGCTCAGCGGGCTGCAGACAAGGAAGGGGCAGTGGCAGAAGTTGACAATGAGAAGGTCGACGATATTTCCTCTGCGCCGGTCACGGAAGTCTTTGTTCCTCATGTCATTGTTCGCACTGGCGGCAAGGTCCGTTCCTTCGACTGGATTCGAACAAAAGCTACAGGCAATCTCCAGCTTTTGGCTTCGACTACGAACAACCAGTTGGAATCGTACAGCGTTATCACTGCGAATAAGAAGAAGGATGATGATGAGTCTGACTACAACCGCAACCTGGCCGTCGATATCCCGGGTCACCGTACCGATATCCGATCTATAGCCCTGAGTTCCGACGACCGAATGCTGGCTTCTGCCTCCAACGGCAGCTTGAAGATTTGGAACGTTCGTACGCAAAACTGCCTGCGTACCTTGGAGTGCGGCTATTCCCTGTGCTCTGCCTTCCTCCCCGGTGACAAGATCGTTGTGGTGGGTAATAAGAACGGCGAACTGGAAGTTTTTGACATTGCATCCTCAACCCTGCTGGATACGATCAAGGCACACGATGGACCAGTCTGGTCTCTGCACGTCCATCCCGATGGCAAATCGATGGTTAGTGGTAGTGCTGACAAGTCCGCGAAGTTTTGGAATTTCCAGGTTGTCCAGGAAGAAATCCCCGGCACCAAACGAACTACACCACGCTTCAAATTGGTACATACAAGAACCCTGAAAGTTGCGGATGACATCCTCAGTCTTCGCTTCTCACCTGACGCTCGGTTGCTTGCAGTCGCCCTTTTAGATAACACCGTCAAAGTCTTCTTTACCGACTCTCTAAAACTCTTCCTCAACCTTTATGGCCACAAGCTTCCTGTCCTCAATATGGACATTTCCTATGACAGCAAGCTCATTGTTACTTGTTCCGCGGACAAGACAGTTCGCCTATGGGGTCTGGACTTTGGTGATTGCCACAAAGCATTCCTGGCTCATGAGGACAGTATCATGGCCGTCGCTTTCGTCCCCACCAACAAGGAGGGCAACGGCCACAACTTCTTCAGCGCAAGCAAGGACCGTGTCATCAAATATTGGGATGGTGACAAATTTGAGCACATTCAGAAACTTCAAGGCCATCACGGTGAAATTTGGGCTCTGACTATCAGCCATTCCGGCGAATTCATAGTCAGCGCTAGCCATGACAAGAGCATTCGCATTTGGCAACAGACAGATGAGCAGCTCTTCTTGGAAGAAGAGCGCGAGAAAGAGCTTGAAGAAATGTATGATAACAATCTGATGGCGTCCCTTGAGCAGGATGAGGATGCAGACGGGGAGAAGGCCGAGGCAGTCGATGCTGGGAAGCAGACCACCGAAACGCTTATGGCCGGAGAAAAGATCATGGAGGCTCTGGATTTGGGTATGGCAGACCTCGAGGTGATGCGGGAATGGCGCGCCGTCAAAGCCAGCCAGCCAAACGCGGCACCGCCGGCTCGCAACCCTCTATACATGGCACTGGGTAACATCTCAGCCGAGCAGCATTTGCTTAGTGTGGTTCAGAAGATCCCTGCCGCTGCACTCCAGGATGCCTTGCTCGTTCTACCCTTCTCCAAAGTCCCCGCGCTTTTCACTTTCCTCAATATTTGGGCCAACCGGGGCTGGAATATCCCGCTCACGTGCCGTGTTCTGTTCTTCATGCTGAAGACGCACCATCGTCAGATTATTGCCAGCAAGATGATGAGACCGATGCTGGATAGTATCCGGTCAACCCTGCGTCGAGTCCTCACCCGTCAAAAAGACGAGATGGGCTTCAACCTTTCTGCTCTGCAGATCATAGGCCAGCAAGTGCGGGAAGCGGGCACCAAGGACTACGTCGATGAGGAAACGTGGGAGCAGGAGCACCCACAGGTGACGGGTACAGGCAAGAAGCGGGCATTTGTCCAAATTGAGTCTTAAAGGCTTACTCAATCTACGAGCATGTATTTTGTACGGGTGCATATATGGCGTTGCGATTGTTTACACGATGTTGGTCGAGGTCGGCTACGAAAGTTCTATATCCTTGGAGTTTCGAGAAGGGCAAAAAGTTGGTCTGTTAATAGAGTATCTTGATTTCTAGACATATATATTCTGAGCCTGTACCGTGGAGATATTCGATTCCGACATATAAATGCAGTTGCACAAGTGCAAAATACCGAGCATTCGCAATCAAGCGAATAGTAGTCTAACCTGTCACTTCAAGCAGTCAGCACAATCCATCATCAGATGCAGTAACTGAGACGCCGAAAGCAATTTCACGAGGGTCCAAAAACCCCATACCGCATGCCTCCCACGAACAAGAAAGACACAAGCGAAGCAAAAAAGCCCAAATCATCAACCCGAACTCCACTCAGCAGAACCATTATAAGCACCGACGACAAGGGAGACCCCAATTTTGATATGGTAATCTCCTCAAGTCATACCTCTTCCGGCTCTTCCTAAAAGTATCGGTTCAAGAAAATGTTCTCATCATCTAGGAGAAGGTCGTGATTGGGCTTTGTTTGCTTTTCGAGCTTGTTCTTGTCCGAGATGGACTTCGGTTGGACTTGGATGGGATAAGGATATTTCATACCAATTCTGATTAGTTGTAGGTTGATCTCCTCAAGTTGTTAAAATGGAAGCTGCAAGTCATTGTAGAGCTTTCTCGGCTGTCAAGAGTGAAGCTTGATAGCCACGAGGAAAGAAAAAGGGAAAGAAAATCGTCGTTGACTGGGAAAATTCAAGTGCCAAGGATCGTTGTGTGGAGCACTTCTAGATCACGTGATTATTACTGGTATGCATATCCCCAAGACAAAGACATTGCAAAGTGCAATTTGCCTCTTACAATTTAAAAGCTATATGGTTGGAATACTGGCGTAACCTCTATCATCGTGCTCGAGTGGACAATGATATATTGACGTTTATCCTCGATTGAAGTCTATATTATCAAGTTAAGAGTATGGAGTCGTTTCTCGTAGAGATCATCATATCAAATCATAGTTCATCAGACCAATAGGTGCAATTGACTCACGAGCCCTGCTTCATCATTCCACAGTTTGAACAAGTCCACCATTCCGTTTCCATGAATGTGCCGCATGTTTGACAGATCCAGCCCAAGGGCCGCTTGGCGATATTGCTATCAAGGGCAGCGAGGGTTTCCACGGCCCTAGTTCTGTTCTTAAGAACAGTCTGACTGGCAGATTGGCTTATCGGGCGCTTCTTCTTGTTGCGATTGTCTGTGCTGCAAGGACCTGTGGTTGAAGGTCCAGATGGTGATCTAGTAGCCGAGGGTCGTGGGCGTTCCGAAGCACAAGCATCACAGCACAGGAAGTTGGCTGGGTTCTCAAGAGTGCAGATAGGGCATGTCCAGGGTTGTTCGTAAGAGGTATTATCATAGGTGAGATCAATCGAGTCTTGCGGCTGAGTCAAGGTACTAGGTTTGGTGTTTTCTGGTACAGGAGGAGGAGAAAGAGCTGACCGAGGCCCGGCAGGGATTTCCTGGGAAGGGGGAATGTAAGAAGGCCCGTATCTCTCCCTTTCTTCTTGCTGTATCAAATCAATGTAAGCTTCCATGATAGCCCGTTCGTTTGCATCGTCTTCTTCGGCTTTGGTGCGAAACCCATTCCTAGAGGCTTCCTCTGCAAGCTCAACGCTGTTGTCTGCCCCGGAGGCACAGCCCTTGGTCACGTCGATACGCCTCTGCGCGGCATCAGCAATGACTCTGCGCATATCTGTTCCCCGCAATACGGGGGCACCGCCAAGCCGCTGTCCTGATCCTGCTGCAAGGGCCCGTCTCCGCTCTGCAGCCGCTCTGGCTACGCGGCGCGCCTCGTCTATTGGCATGTTMCGACCGCCCAAGCGTTTACCTTGGGAGAGGAAACCCTCTCCAGTGTAACCTTTCATGACTAGCTCTTCATGTTCATCACGTAACTGGTTCCATAAGGCGTTGAAATGCTGATTATGTGGTCCATGTACAATATGACAGAGCCTGGACATGTCAATGAATGAGTTCTCTGGAATCTGAGCATCGACTTACTCGTGCAGCATCGTATCAACTACTTGCTCTAAAGGTAGGAATTGACGCTCGTCGGAGGGGTATCGCAAACGGAGACATATTTTCTGGCCCGCGTTGACATTCAAGCCCAAGAGATTTCGTTGCTGTGGGTAGAATTCACACAGTGTTCCTACCCTCCAAGCCCTCTGACGCATAATTGGTTTGACTAGGGAAGCGATCTTCCGGAGCATCAACAAAGCCTCTGCTTCTCTGGGCCGGTGTTTGTCATGTTGGTACTCGGAGACCAGTGGGTCTAGTTCACGCATATTGATGGCCGTGAATAAAATTGAGTCGAAGATGATCTGAGGAAGATATCGGAAAAAGAGGATATGGCAATGATACTGTTTGAGTTCTGAAGCTGGCTCAAAGAGGATATATGCCAGGCTGACAATGATTGCCATATACCTCTCTCTGTGCCAGCAGATGAAAGATATCCGTCAGGCGCGGGCGTACAAGCCTGTCCAAAATGGCAGCATGAGTTCTCCTGTCCCAAAGCGATATCAGGGAGAAATAAATTTTTGCCACATTCTATGTATTCCAGTAGACTCCAGGAACGTGTGACAATGTCGAAGCGCCTTGCTACTTCATTCTCTGGATTGATAATCAGCAGAAGACATTAGAATCAAGCTGCCTTCGACGATAATCACGTGCAAGATTCACACCCTTCCCCTGAGGCCAAGAAGTGGCTGTAAGGCATCACAGAACCAGGCGAGGCCTGTTGGACGCTCCTGAAGAAATAAATGGCCAACCAAGGGCTGGGAAGTTGTGGCAAGTTTGATGCATAAAGCAGCTGCTTAGATGTACTACTGAGACTAGTACAGATACGGACTAGTTTACACGGAGTCAGAGTGACATTATTAAAGAACGTAGGTGGGGATCAATGCATCCTGCAACATTTCATAGTAAACCACTTAATAACATGAAGATATCAGAATCATCTGGATATTCTMCAGTATAGATAGCAGCTTTATATTAAGTAATTTTTATACTCAAAAGCTACAGTTGATATCATTATCCTTATCCTGGGGCTGTGGAGTATATCATGCTCATGTGACTGGTTGATATACATTTCCTGCACTTATCAGTGGAACTTTTCCACCTTTATCAACCTCTGTGGCATCAAGCATTTAGCTTCTGATTTCAAATTCCAATCAAGATGACGAGCGATGATCAGTTCTTCTTCGATTATGTGAGTTACCTGGGCTACACTACTGCCAGTCACTAGACTTACGAGATGCTTCAACTTCCAGCTTGCCACGATTCCGCATGACGTAAGAAGATACTCGCTCGAGGTCGCAGATTCTATCGACCGGCAAGTCGATCACATCGCGACAGTGATTCGCGACACACTCTCACATCAATCATGGCTCCCTCCTGCGATCCGACCTTCGCCCAAGACATATCCAGGCTTCCATGCGGCGCGGTCGCAGTCTTTCACTGATCGCGCGTATGACTGGGTGGTGCGAAATCGAGCATGGAGCGCTGCTTTAATCGCATTTATTGGGACAACCAGCGTCCTGTATTTTGGGAATAGCAAGCTACATGGTCGCCGGAGGAAGGCAAGGAGGGCAGGAAATGGTGCTCGAAAGGAGATAGTTGGTATGTTACCGAGATGGGAAATCTGTACGGGTTGTCCATAAGAGCTAACTACTTGGTCAGTTGTCGCCGGGTCTCCCCATGAACCGATGACCAGAGCGATTGCCACTGATTTGGAGCGTCGAGGATATATTGTGTTTATTACTGTCACATCTGCTCAAGAGGAGCAGCTGGTTCGGTCGGAAAACCGAATGGACATCAGAGCCCTTTGGCTTGATCTCACAGCAGTGAGCATTCATTCCGCATTTCAGAAGACGAACTATTGCTGACATTGTTAAAGACCCCTTCGCCTTCTGAGATTCACCCCTCTCTGCGTGACATACATTCCCTCATCACACAGCCGCAATGGCCGATGCCTGGCGTACCTCCCCATACCTGCCAGCTAAGCGGCATTATCCTAGTCCCATCTCCTAATTATACAACTGGCCCGGTCGCCACTATCCCACCATCAGCCTGGGCTGATACCATTAACACTCGACTACTTTCTCCTATACTAACCACTCAGATCTTCCTGCCTCTCCTTACGCTTCGCAGCACGAATAGCACTATCCTCGTACTCTACCCCTCTATATCGTCGTCGCTTTCAGCACCATTTGCCGGTCCTGAAGTCACTACTGCCCGTGCTCTGTCAGGATTCGCGACGTCTCTACGGACAGAGTTACGGCTCTTGCAGCATAAGAACATTGATGTTGTGGAGTTGAAGCTTGGCAACATCGACCTCGGCCCCCAGTTCCGCGACGCGCAGAGCCATGTCACTGGGACTGAAGTTCTCGCATGGAGCGCACAGCAACGGTCTCTCTATGGGCCGCAATACCTTTCGAGCATCGAACAGCGGCCCGTGGCATCTGCAGGGCCCAGTACGGTGCGAGGCTCACCTGCCAGAACGCTCCACTACGCGGTATTGGATGCACTGGAGCCAGCATCAAAAGATATTTTTGGAAGAAAAGTGCCCAAGAAGCGGGTCATATACGCTGGACGAGGCGCGAGGTCATACAGCATCATTGGCGAGTGGGTTCCCGCCGGCCTGGTAGGATGGATGATGGGCCTCCGAGGTGGGCAGCCTGCAGCGTCGGACAGTGCCAGCAATAGCAGCAGTGAAACTGGCTGGGAAAAAGTCAATGATGCACGATAATATTTCTGCCTATTTTTTGGTTATAATTTGGATCCTGGGCCCCACTGACATGCCTTGATCTGTTGAATCCCATCCCCTCTCCATTCTGGATGCAACTGACATCTCATAAAATGAATACTCAATCGCATCTCAATTATTATTGGTGCAGAGTGCACACATATGTGCTCATTATTATTACGTATTATCCTATATAAACACGACATAATACCTCGACTAAACTCCGATATGCCGCATCTCAGGAATGTCCTCCTTGTCGTAGACCGACCTCTTGATCTTTCCATGGGTAAGCCTCCTCCTCAACCAGATGGCAGCCCACGACAGAATGAAAATGACCAGGATCGCTGCAAAGATTCCAAAGCAGTAAGCAGTCACACGACCACTATGCTCGCCATTCGGCCCGGGATCCAAGAACGAGTAGGTGTAGAAACCCTCAGTGTGGTAGGTCAAGTAAGCGAGTGAGACATACAGCAGGAGAATCAGCACCAGGAACGGAAACGTCAGAAGCGAATGCGGGTTCGTGGTGGGGAGGATGATTTCCAGCAGGGCCCAGAGAGAGTTGAGGCCGTGCTGCGAGATCTACAGCACATCATTCATAGCGTTAGCGATACTCGACACTCACTTTGCGATTTTACATTGTGAAAAGCATACATTCGACCAAGCCCCAAAAGTCCGCGTATACCACGGCGGCTCAAACAGAATCGCCCAGAACACGATCGTCACGAGAAACGGGAAGGTAGTGATGGTCGCGTAGAAAATCGCATGCAGAGCGCGTAGCGCACGAGGCAGTCTGTCGAAGAGCACGGAGCGCCCCGTGCGTGCGTAGCATGCTGTATGGATTGCCGCAACGAGATAATAGAAGCCCAGACCCCAGAACGTGAGCCAGGTGAAGTAGCTGAAGCTCTGGCCGATTGCCTCGGAGTCGCCGTGTGTGCCGTCCCAGCCCCAGATGAAAAAGATGGTGACGAAGATGTAGAGGGCGACTAGGGCGCGGAGGAGGGCGAACCAGAGAGGGGGGAGAAGCCAGGAAGTTTCGTAGCAGTGGAGGGAGGAGTCGACGCCGAAGGAGGGTTTGGATAGCTTCATGTTGGCGACGACGGCGGCGGCAGTGGTGCGCGCCTGAGGATAGGATTTTGCGGGGGGGAAGAAGGTGGGAAAAGAATCGAATAAGAGTTATCTAACGGCCATACTGAGGTTTATTCAAGAAAATTTCCGCTAGGGAGGTTCAGACTCAGAGACTGAGCTAAATTTTGTTCGCTGTTTCTAGTGCTGTCGCCATTCCAATTATGGTTTTGTCAGTTGCCTTGGGATCAAGCCATCTACAAATGTAACGGTAAGCCTGCGCTGTGGATACGTGGATTGAACTTAAGCGATGGCTAATGGAGACTGGAGCCTGACTATATTAGTGTAAAGACTCCGTAAACAGACTTGGCTGTGAGCCGACTGTGGTCCATTGGTTTAGATGAACGAGGGCTTGATTTCGTCCCGTGGACACCTAAAATGGTTTTGGTACTGTTGAGGCACATCGGCCGTGAAGTTCAATTCTCAGTAGTAACAAAGTGACATTCGAGGCAATGTGGAGCGAACTGGTCTTGTAGGACGGACGGACGACCAATCCCAAGTCAATGGGCCCGAAGACAGAAAAAGCAATCACCGCCGAGGAAGAAATGAAGATGAGCTGCTCTATCTAATGGTTACGCGGCCCAGATAGACAGTGCGAATGGAGTTTTAGAATACAAACATTTCTCCAATGAGATTGAAAAGACGCTAATCGAATCGAAGATATACGAGACTCTTGCTCCCTGCCGTAGAGGCCAAGGACGATCTGAAAATGAATGGTACCTGATAGACTACACCGTAATATCAATCCTAGCCATCATGTTAGACTTTGTGGAGATGCAGATTGGCTTTTGGCGTCTCCCTCAGCAGTCATGGGACCTGTATCTGAGCCTGAAGAACGAAGCACCAACGCGATCTTACCTTTAGGTATTCCCAAGCTGGGTCTTTAAGGTATTGGGTAAATGGAACTGTTGTCATCCTCCATGGAAGCACCCATTGATTTGCGTGTTTGATGAGGGAGCTCTCATACAAAATATACACCCTCCCTCTCTTTCTCCACGGCGAGTCGGCTCCTTACTCAGAGAGAGGCAAAACAACGGAGGCGAAATACATATAAAGGTAAATAAGCGCCCCAGTGGCAGTGCTGGAGTATCTTGATTGTTGACCTCGCCTACCTCTGTACGAATGGTAACCAAGTATAGATATAATACCTTATGGTTTGCACCAGACCCTGCTCTAGTAGTGATAGTCTCGAATACTCCAAAAGACTGGAGCAGGAGATAGCTGTTCACATCGCGAGGCGCAGTTTCCAGGAGCCGCAATCTCACATACTTTTTATTAATTGGTCATTGATGCTCTGGGTTAGATCGCCTTTAAAACACCTTAACATGAGATCATGCCAGCGGCACATTGACATGACGGTCCAAGATAGGGCCTATAGCAGTATACTATTAATATTTATGCTGACTTAAACCATCCTGA